TGCTGCCTCGGGACCCGCCTCCTCAGGACCACAGGGGTGCTTGCTGTGGTGATGGGCCCCCTTTAGCTGCCTACTATGGATGGGAAAGCAGAAACAAATACAAGGAAAAGACTGCAAACTTCGAAGCAGGCCAGAGAGCTGGTAGGAGGAGGCTCCAGCCTGCACAGCCCCAGTGGCTAAAAGGGCCTTGGCCTGGCCTGCTTTCCCTAATGGCAGGGAAAACTCTTCTCTTCCCTCCATTGTCCCCAATGGGGTGACCTGATGCCCAAATTCCTGCTGCTGCAGTGGCTGGCTCAAGGCTCCCTGCAGGGGGCAGGTTCCTCCAGCCCAAGCCACAGAGGGAGGCTCCATATGTCCAGGAGGCCTGGAGCATGTGCCCGGCCCACAACACTGCTGCCAACCACCTGGTCACCTGCGTCAGCAGCCCTGTGTGGCCGTGTTCTTGTGCAAGAAGCCACCAGTGCAGACAGAGCCTTCGTGTGCAGAGCCGTTCCGCTGCTTATTGTCAAGGGGGTTTCTTGTGCATGAAGGAGCAGTGTGATAGTCAATATGGATCCCTAGGTCACAGGCACCATTTAGTGGCCCCAGTTACTGACCTAAACACCGTCATAACACGATAGCTACGTCTACACTGCAGACTTCTTGTGTAAGAACTGTTTTGCACAAGCTTTCTTGTGCAAAAGGTCTTCAACAAGAGCACGTCCACACTACCAAGTGCTTTGCACAAGAGATGTGCTTTTGTGCAAGAGCGTCCATGGCAGTGGTTGCTCTCTTGCGCAAGAAAACTCTGATGAGCATTTTAGCCATACTGGTTTCTTGCACAGGAAATTCATGTTGCCTGTCTACACTGCCCTCTTGTGGGAGAGCTCTTGTGCAGGAGGGCTTATTGCTCATGGGGAGAGGAATAATTCTTCTGGAAGAAGCCCTGTTTTCCAATGCTGTACTGCAAATTTACTTGTGCAAGAATGCTCGTGCAGTGTAGATACTCTGCATATTTTAGTGCCAGAACAGTCATTCTTGTGCAAAAAGCCTGCAGTGTAGATGTAGCCTAAGGGTTTGTATGCATTTAAACAGTTCACATACAATGGAAATCCAAAAAAGGTTAATGTCTCCATTAAATTAACAGTCTCTCAGGAGGCACTTGGATTTGAACCAAGGTCCACTTGATCTGCAATCAAACACTCTGCCACTGAGCTATACCCCCATGTAAGACTTGTGTCTGCAGGCAGTATTGAGAAGTGGGTGGGGAACAAGAGACTTTTGTGTAACACACATCTCAGGTGGGATAGACCCTCACTGACCCTAGATTGTGACTGGTCCTAACAAGGACTTTGTCCTGAAAGCAGAAGAGCTGGGGCAGGACAGAGGTTCTGTCCACACGGAAAAGTTCTTTTGGAACAATGGCTGTTATTCCAAAATAACAATGTGAGCGTCTACACAGCAATTCCATTATTTTGAAATAACTCCGAAATAACGGACAGCATATTCCAACTTCTGTAGACCTCATTGTACAAAGAATAACGTCTATTCTAAAATAGCTATTTCAAAATGAGGCCTGTGTAGATGGTCCATTTCTGCTATTTTGAAATAGCCCCTCCCCAGGACCATTCCAAGTTATTCACCGTGGGGTTCTAAAATCAAGGTAGCACGTCTATATTAGACTCATTTTGAGGTTTCCCTGCAGTGTAGACGTGCTATTTTGGAATAACTATTCCAGAAGAGCTTATTCCAAAATAAACGTGCAGTGTAGACGTAACCAGAGAGTCCTGAGAGAGGAAGCAGCTGGAGGGAAGTCAGGAGAGCAGAGGCCAGTCTGAGAGCTGAGTGACCCAGGTGTCTACGCCAACCCCCATGTCTAGGTCTCATTGTGTAAGGAGCAGCGCTCATGACACTGAGTCTTGTCATCTGAGTTCAAGTCTGAGTAGAAGCTGCAGGGCCTGGGGTAGTTGCTGGGAGGTCCTTGTGCTCCATGCTTTTGGCTTCCTTGTGTAACCCCCTTTTTCCTCCCCGGGGTTACTGGGGAGCAGGTCACACTCACAGGTGTGCCTGGGCGCCAGATGTTTTAACCTAAAAGAGATCCTGAGCACCCCAGTGGGGATGGTGTTTAGTTGGGGAAAGCCCTGTCCACCCCCTTGCTGCAGTCCCTTGCTGGCAATGAATGTAAAGTGGCGGTGCCTCAACCTAGCTAGCCTTGTACACACACTGGTGCCTTGAGAGCCTCCAGGAACATACTCATTCCTACTTCAAGGAATAAGATCCTCCGGAAAAGGGCTTTTTTTCCGGAGGATCGGGGCCAGTGTAGACGCTCTTTTCCGGCTTTTTTAAAAGCCGGAGAAAAGCGGCGGACATTTTTATTTAAATGCCGCGGGGGATCGCCGGATTTCCCTATTACGGCTTCTGAAATTAACATGCCCCTTCCGGAAAAGGGGCCAGCGTAGACGTAGCCATGGAGAGAGCCTCTTCTCTCCCCCCAGAGTCCTCCCTTCCTGTTTCTTTCCAAGGGCTCTTGGGAATTGTAGTCTGGATTGTAGCACACAGGGTCTTTTAGAATAAAACAGAGGCCCCTTTAGTAAGGCGACTACATTTGTCTAGAGGTTCACTAAGGGCCTTGGATTCTGGCCACCCAGCATTCACTCTGAAGAGGCCATAATATGTGAGGGGGAATTTTCACTGATCCCTTCTCCTCTGAGCTGGAATCCCAGCTCCCCCAGCGTTCACTGGAAGGGGACAGCCCAGCAGGGACTAAAAACTACTGCTCTAGGTGAGGTTTGAACTCACAACCTCAGCATCTCTCCTACAAGGACTGCCTTATAAGTACTGTGCACTGACCCATGCGGCCCCTCCCTCTTCCTACTTGCTTTCCTGAAAGAGAGAGACCTGGCTCCCCTTTCTTTTCCCCCAGCAATTGCCATGCTGCAAAGCAGATATCAGAGACAGCAAAGCGAGCATTCTCTGTGGTGCACTGGAAAGCGTGTGGGACTTCTAAGCTTTGGTGCTCTCTGTCCAAACTGACCTCGGTCAGTCATTCAAAAGTTGAGAGCTCAAATCCCACCAGAGTCACTTTAGCTGCTTTCTCATTTCCAGAGCAGCTTTTACAGAACTGGCAATCCTTAGGCTGACACCAGGATGGGCTTTCGTCCAGACAGTTCCCAGCAGACCCCAGCGAGGGGGGAGGCAAGGGCTGCTCTGAAAGGCTGCAGGTGCCCACAGACCCTTTTGTCCCTCCATGTCACCTACCAGTGCTGTGCATCACTCAAGCTATGTCTACACACACTGTTCTTCTGAAGAAGCTAGATACATTGTGAACCCTCGTTTGCATAGCTTTTTCTGGAAGAAGCTTTTCCAACATTTGTCCTGTTTACACTGGGCCAAATGTGGGGAAAAAAACCTTTTTTTGTACCATCCCTTCTTCTTCATAAAATGAGGTTCACAGAGGCACCAAAAACAATTCCGAAAAAAATTCAGCAGCTGTGTTCTCTGGACTAAAGCGTCGTCTCTGTAGTGTAGACAGAGCCCTGATGTAGCATCTTATTTCAAGTTTAGGTGCAGCATAGATAGAGGGTTGACTCAGAGTCCTTAATGTTGCCTCTTAGACCATGGGACCTACACAAGGCACCTGTGACTCAGCTGGGCCAAACTGGAGCCCTTCAGCTCAAGCCTACTGGAACCAGCTTTGCTTGTTTTCCTTCCACCCAGAGCCCCCTTCTTCTCCTGGGCTGCAAGGAGCCTCCCCGGGGGTGCCCTGAGACAGCTTTCAAGTAGGAATAAGGGATCTTGCGGAAAAGGGTTTATTTTCTGCAAGATCCCGTCTAGACTGGCGCTTTTCTCCTGCAAAACCCCGAGCCGGAAAAAAGCAGCAGCCATGTTCATGCAAATGCCGCGAGGGGTATTTAAATCCCCCGCGGCATTTGCACTTCCGACAAGTGTCTCATTGACATCCCTTTTCTGGAAAAGGGTGCCAATGTAGACACAGCCAACGTGTTGGAGCAGCTATTAAAAGGCTTGTCCCTTGTCAGGTCATTGTGCTTATGGATTGGCTATTTCTTGGATGACTGGTGCTTGCACATGCAGCTGGGCTTTAGCAAATCAGAATGATGCAAGTCGAGAGCAACCCAGCGCCTCTGGAAATGGGAGTGGAGTAAAAAGTACAATATTGTCTAAAAAATAAAATAACTTGAATAAAAATCAAAGTGTGACAAAAATAAATTACTTGAGTAAAGTACAAATACCCAAAAAAGGTCTTGAGCAGTGTGATCAAGTATTTCTACTTAGTTATTTTCCACCTCTGCCTGGCACGCAGGGGTTCCTGGCCCCTTACTGGTCTGTGGACTGGCAGTTTGTTACCACTGACTTAGAGGAGCCCCGGAACTGCACTTTCAGGAAGAAACAGCAGGAGATTTTGATTGGCTGCCAGGTGCTCCACATGCTAATCAAGAGGCGTGTTTCTGTAAACAGGGACACGGAGCATATTCTAATATGCAGATTTCTAAACCGGGTAGAGCGTGTTTGAATGGGACAAGCACTTTGCTGAGATTATTTCTGTTCTTTAGTTTTCTAAGTGTTGTGTGAAAACATTCCTCATGAGGAGAAAGTGAATGCACACGAGTGTAGGTGTGTAGCAAGCAAGCTGCTGCTAAGACTGTACTTTCAGGGATTGTTTCTGCAGTTGGTAGTTAGGGAAATGCAGCTGAAAGTGGTTGGTCTTGCTAACCATGAGGATGAGTGACAATGTTCTCTTCTGAGCATGAAGCAAGCAGACAGTGTTGTTTTAATGTAAGTGATGTCTGCCGTTGATGATTGTTCCTTCTTTCCTGCGGGGAAGCTGGAGGAAGAGAGTACAGGCTGAGTGGTTGGCTGTTGTCAAAAAGTTCAAAATTAGTTTTAAAGTAGAAAGGAAAAGGGTTTGGTCCTGTCCCGGCTTTTCTTGAATTTCTGGTTTTACATCTGCTACTCTGGTCCTGATCCAGCATATGGGGGGAGGTGTTGGACTGCATTTCCCTGCTGACATGGAGCTGGGTTGCCAGGTGTCTGGTTTTGAACAAGATAGTACAGAATTTGAGCTTTCTGTTTGTAGCCCTTCTGCCGGGTAGGC